AAACAACAAATGGTAAAATCTAATTTTTGAATTATGTATATGATTTGTCAATGTCGCTAACGTTGTTTAGGCAATAAATCTAAATCGGTAAACAACGAAAAAACAGATAATTAATAAAATTATTAATTTATTTTTGGGGTTTTTCCTAACTTTTATTTGCTAAAAAGTACAAACAAATAATTAATCTCTAATGTTGGACCGCTTATGCAATTTCTTCCCAACATGTTGGAAAACGAGAGAACCGGAAAGAACCGATTTGAAACTCGGAATTAGCACTGTTTTCAGTGTAATCTATACCCAAAGCCGCCGAGACTGTGAGGAGCCAAGCGCGATTTGAATTTCGCATCGACAGCGGAAAAGATGCGATCGTTAGAAGAGTTATCTCCCATAGAAACCCTAGATATCGAAGAGAACGGCCTCGCTCTCGTCTCACGCGTCAAGCTCTGTCTCACAATCCACCCAGTAGTCCCTTCCGTATCCAAATCCATCGACGAATGGCAGCTCAAACGATCCTTGATAGATTACCTCAAAAGCTCCGTCGTACCGTCAGTGACAGTTGCGGAGGCAGATATTGTAGTTCGCCGTCACAAGGACTTGAAGAAACGGAAGCGTGAGGAGCCAGTAGCTCATGGATCATTGTTTATACGCGATTTAGGGTTTCTTGATGGGAAGAAGATGAAGAAGGAGAATGATGGAGAGAGAGATGTGAAGGAATTGGAGAAGAAGTTTCTTGATTGGAGGAAAAGTTTGGTGGAGAAGATGAATGGTATTGAGCTTAATTTGGAAGGAGTTAAGTATAAGCTTAGTGTGGTGCTTCCGATTTCAGATGATTTCGAGAGGTTGAAGAAGGATTGGGAGGAGTTTTACGCTTTTGGTAATTTGGATTTATCAATGTAGATTTTGTTTTTGCGATTTTTTCCAGTTATTTGATGTGATTGTGATCTGCAGGACATTCAAGGGAAGGAAGGAGAGAGGCTGATACGATTGTACTCAGAGGTGTGCCATCAAGATGGTTTGCTGAGCCAAGAGTATCATCAAAGCCTTCAATGTTGGTTACACATACCATCTTCTCTAGCTTTGGGAAAATTAGGTAAAGATTCTTTCATCTTTCAATGTTGGTGTTCAAATTGATTTTGTTTGTCCGAAACTGTGTTATCTCTATCAGAGAGAAGTAAAGATTAATGAATGTGTTTCAAGAATGTGACACTGAGGGAGTTAGGATTGATTTGTGGCTTGCTTATTGGAACCAGAATTGGTTTTGTGCTACTTTGATTAGGTTTCATGCATCTGCATTAGATCATAATCTACGGTATTTGCCCATGGTGCTGGTAAAGATTTCATGCATCTGCATTTTGTATGGAAATTTTACCTGACGACTAATTTCAACCATCTTATTGAACTTTCTGTACCATGTGTGCTTTCAGTATTCTATTCTTCAGATCATTTATTCTGTTTACCAATGAATCTAATGTAATTCCGATAATTTTCATAAATCCATGTTCAGCTGCATTAACTCATCCTCTATAGGAATCTTAATGTTGCTGAGGACGATGATCTAGGTAAGGATGCAGATGAGGACAGTGGAGACCTCGTATCAGGTCTCCATTGTAAGATTGTGGTTCAGTTCGAGAAGTACAATGACTTTGTCAATGCCATGAAGGCTTTCTGTGGTCGCTCAATGGAAAAGGTATCATCTATATTGCAAAGAAACATCTTAGGTTTCATTAGACAAAAATATTTTGGGAAAATTGGATATGGTGGTATATAGTAGCTTTCTCTGTTCCGCTGTTGCGCAATCTTCTTAAATAGCAGAAGAGCTTTAATCATTCACAGAAATGTTTTTGTTGGATGATTATATTGAATCCTGCACTAGACTGTATGAAAAGAACTAGTTTCAGCTAGTGCATGGTTTTGTGGGTTCTTGCTATTGCATCCAGAAATAAATACTGTGATGTAAGGACATCAAAATGTTTTGCCGGCTCTGTAACATCTGTACATACATTCAATACTTCCTGTTTGATAGTCAATAGATATTTTATTTGATTGATTATGCAGAAAGAATCAGGCAACTGGTATTTCTGTCGGTATTTCTCTTGTAGGCATTAAAACATAGCTGATGTAGTCTGGTTTTTGTCAATTGAGCAGGAAGGTACTCGGCTAAAGGCAGACTATGAACTAACATGGGACAAGGTTGGATTTTTCCGGAACTCGAGGAGGACGTTTGATCACAGAGATGGCGGACATAGAAATGAAGATTTCGGATACAATCAGGATGATTTACGCCGGAAAAGATTCAGGGTATTGTATGATTATGATTATATAACTAAAATGCTGAATCCCTCAATCCAGACAAAAGATGATTCTGATATGTTAAATATGTTTATTTGCAGGAGTAATACACTGAGATGAGATCTAGAGAACCCTGGGAGATGTAGACGGCTGCTCTCTGTCTTCTAGGTCTATGACAGATATTTGTATTTTAAGATAATGATGTTTTGAAGATTTCTAAGTTAAGATTTGTGTTTTGTTCTTATGCCAAAAATACATGCACACCGAACTGGACTTGACTCGAATTTTAATTTCGGAAATATATTCCCTTTTGAAAGTTTGTGGGAAGAAACTTTTGGCATGTCAATCAAATGGGATAGTTCGGTCCACCCTGATTTTGTATGTCAATATTTTGTTTGTAGTCCGACTCGAACGAAGCTAGGCCAAAATATTGGTAATACTTTTCAAAACAGATGGTTTTGAGATATTTGATTTGGGAAATATTAAATAGGCAATGTACTTCTGAGAAAAAGAAATGAATTTGTGTGAATAATATTTATTTAATATCAATTATTGGTTAAAAAGTTACTTTGGAATGATACTAAATATGTTTCGGGGAACAGTGTCAAACAAATAAAAGACGTTTTTTGGAACTCTATCACCATTCACCAAGTCAATCTCTCTTGGTTATGATGAATTTAACAAGCGTCAAAATGGACTTCAAGGCAAGAGCCAAGGGTTGTTCACCATTCATACAAGTCTTCCTCTCTGGTTTAGTACTATTCTTCTTCTCTGGTTACAACCTTTTTCATATAAGCTGATAAACCCAAAAATGTAAATTGTTTTTATTGATAAATGAATGAATATCGAGTTCTCTTTTAAAATTAAAAAAAAAAAACAAAGTTTTACTGTCGGCCCTTTTAATATCGTGACCATGAAAGAGGATATTGAGAAGAAAACAAAAATATCGTAGAGAAAATTCTTAAAAACACATTAAGATGAAATTTTGAATATTGTTAAGAAACTACTAAAACTCTTAAAATTTTGATCCTGTACCTTTTACAGATTTTACTTCTTTAATCTTCTTGAATATATAAGAAAATAGATTTTTAAGAAAATTTAAACAAGAGAAGAAGCAAGTGGGTTAGTCGTTCATAACCATATTGTCTTCTCACAAAATTTGGCTTCGAACCCAACCATTTCAAAGAAAAACGTATAATTTATAACGATTTAAAAAATATATATATTAAAACCAAAACTCATTTGAAAACCATAAACAATCAAGACATACATCTAGTTCATAACTAAAGTTATAAGAACTTTCATCAAAATAAAATTAAAAAATTAATAACAAAAATTCTAGAAGCACGACCTTATGTCCTTTTATCCATCATCTACTACATCAAAAATATAAATCATTAATAGCAAAAACAAAATCTAGAAGCACGACCTTATCCATCACCAATGAATAAAGGCAATGAGGCATACATTTAATTTATAAAAATTTCATGAAAAGAAAAAAATAATATCAAAAATTCTAGAAGAACGACCTTATCCATCACCAAATGAATCACATATTCTAAAGTGAAACCCGATATAATAACTTTTAAAATAAAGTCTTTTGAATCGGACAAAATAATAAATTAGCCATAAAAGACTTTAAATCTCAAAACTCCTTGTGAAGACCGTTGTTACCATACTGTCTAGAAACTCTCTGAACCATACTGTCTCATCTTAAAACATATATGTACTGTAAAGTGTTGTCATCTACACCATCTCTACCTTTTATTTGTATTAATTTATCGTCGTTGATGATAAGGTTGAAGTCTTTCCATTGAATATCCATCCATGTATCACGTTTTCCATAGATGTGTCATGGTCCATGACTCATGGATAACTAAATTGAATTATTAAGAAACAGCTAATGTAATTATTATTTTTTCAGACAAAAATGTATTGCATCACACTATCTTTCTTCATTTCCATTAATTATTGTTGATTGATTATAAGTTGAAACTTGCAAGTTATGCTTATTTAGTCATAATCACTCTTTATCAAGATGACTACCTTAGTGATTAATACTAATATCGTTGATCGGTTAGTACGTATATTAATGAGAATTTTTTTTAACACATTTCACATAAATCATATAAAATTTAAATTATACATATATGTCGATATTCTAATTAAGTGATTAAAAATTTTAAATTCAATAAGAAGAGTTTTAGGTTTAGTGTAAATTAACCTAAAATATACAATGACATTTTTTGAGATTGTAAAACAAAGAAAAATTTCTAGAGTGATTTGTGAAATGCTGAGTATATACTCACATGGAAATTAAATTATCATCCGTCATAAATGTTATAGACAATAGCTACATCTTTTTATCTTCATTAATTCTTGCATGTGAAGCTTTTGTTTTTTCTACAACTCACTCACTTTTTTATTATTATTATCTAGGGGTTATCTAGATAAATAAATAAATTGTGATCACTATACTTATATCTCACTTTCTTTTGATATTCTTTTAAGTTTTAAGTTTCTTGATTGGTGTGTTATGGATTGTATTATCTATTGTTGGTTGTAAATTGTAATCATGGCACACATGAGAACTACTTAGCTTCCTTCACGATCTATTTGGTTTTATCAAATCATTTGCTTCAAGAACATGACGATCTATGTCCAACAGATCATAAAATTTTCTGTACAAAGTATGTTTTTGAGTAGATAAATATGTAACATCTTCCCAATTGCATATTTACATCTATAAACATTTAAAACCTAATGAAACAAAAATAAAGATACACATGTTTCTGCTAATTCAGCTGTCTCTAAATTTCAACAACTATGAACAAAACAGAGAATAAACAAAGAGACAAACCAAAAAAAACTTTTGACAAAGAAAAAAACGTTTTTGCTCGATCACGCGGTTTTTTTTCTCACGAGCAGCCAAAATGATAAAACGTGTTCTACTTGCGAGGAGACTGATCACGAACAGTTCTTGGATTAAACGATACTCTGTTTTCAATACTTAGTTTCCTAGCGAAATCTTTCTTCTTCATCGCGTAAGACATTGATGATGATCCGCTCTGTTCTTGAATCGTTGGAACCAAGTACCAAACGATACAAGTGCACATAATCGCCACAGATCTTCCAAAGAAAGCCAAGAAAACAAGAACCAAGATCACAGTCACAGGAAAGAAATGGTTCGGTCTCGCGATCTTCTTCAGATTCTCGTTTATAACACAGCTCTGTTTCGGTTTCTGCTCTGTTTCAGGCTCTGTCTTCTTCTTGATTTCCTCTGTTTTCGCTTCGTTGACTTCTTCTGTTTTGACTTTCTCAGCGACAACATCTTTCTTCTTCTTGTTCTTCTTGTGTAGATAAGACGATCTGATCACAATTGGGACACACTCGCCGGAGCTCGTGAACACGAATCGAACAAGAGGCGGTCCACCGGAATCGAGCTTCTTCGAGTATATGCTTTGTCTCTTCTCGTCTAGCTCCGAGAGAAGCTCAGAGAATTTGTCAAGTCCACGATTCGAATAAGGGTTCTTGCTTGATTTTCTTGATTTCTTAGGTGAAGAACATGGAGATCTAAATGGGCTCACCATTTTTACTACACTCGATGATGATCTTGTTGTTTCTTTAATCTTGAGATGTGTTCTTGTAAGAGATTTAGAGAGTTTTTCTTGTTTTGTTTTTTTAGTTATTGAGGATTTTGATTTACAGACAAGAGAGACGACCTTTGGTAGTAATATAAGGGATTTGTCTGAATTTATAAAGATTTTTTCACGCGACAATAATATTCTTTTTGTAACACGATAATGGTTTTTTATAGGGTTAAAGAATTTGACCGGATCTGATGAAGTGTTGTATATAACTTGGTCAAATCTTTAGATCTCAGAAATTTTTATATATTTTTGTTTGTGTGTGTCGATGATTATTATAAGAAGCTTCCAGGAATAAAAAGAACATCATTGATCGCGTATGTGATAACTTTGTGTTGGTCTTGTTGATTGACTTCCTTGGGGCATAAGTTTAACCAAATAAGTCTTTTCTTTCATAGATTTACTTGGAATTTTCTAAGTATTTATATTTGTAATTTTATGCATAGATTTTGATGTTTTTGGCTACTAATTTGATGTGTGTATGGCAACTAATTTGATGTGTGTGGTTAATTGAGATTTGAGAATATATATAATTATATATTATACTCCCTTTGTTTTCAATTAATCGTTTAATTTTTTACAAAATATAATTTTTCTATTTTAACACTTTTAATCAATTTTTTGTAAATCATTTTTAATCTATTTCCTAACTTTTTATTGGTCAAAATATTAAAATTGTTGATATGAATTTGAAATTTTTACCAAGCATATGTTTGCATTGAAAATCTAAAAGTATATTAGAAGAGAGATTAAAAAAATAAAGATTTGTAAACAGAATTTAGTAATAGAAGATTCTAGTAAAGCAAGTTTCTAATAAACGTTTGTAAATTATTTTTTCTTCTTTATAAAAGTGTTTTTTTTTTTTTAGAGTTTGGTAAATATAAACATTGTTTAAGCACGAGTTAGGTTAGTCAACTTTTAGTTCGAAAGCTTGGTATTATTGTTCACATAATTACGGTGGATGTGATTAGTTTTCTCGATTATGGTATGCACATGTGACAATTAAGTGCTGTTTTGCTCGTTACTAGGTGTTTTATATAATTAAAGTATTTAGGTTGTCGATGTGTTTAGACTTTAGCTATAGTTATATATATGCATATCAGTTAATGATTTAGAAATCGTTTCCAACTACATCAACTTTTAAATTTACTAACTAATGTATTGCTAAGAGTATTTTGAAGTTTTAACAACAAACTATATAAGCTTTTGACCAATAAAACACGTGTAATGAAAAGATTTAACAGACTACATATAAAGAAATTTAATCTTAACAAAAGTTGATGGGTTACTCTAATAGCACATCTAAGAAACTTTTGATTAAATAAAACATAAAAGTTAAAAAGTGATCTTAAAACCAAATTATTTAATTTAAAATTAAAAACATTAAAACTAAAACTTAAATTATATAAGAAAAACACACAAAAATACACCTAAACTTCCTTTACAACTATTTTTTTTTTTATAAATCTACCAAATAATAGTCGGAGTCAATCATATCATTTTCCTATATTTTCGTATACCATATTTGCATTGTTTATTTGTTTGTAAATATTTTTAATATTAATAAAATATAACTTGAAGAGAAAAAACACATATTATTTAGTGAGACATTTTTTATCTTTTTAAAAATAAAAATAGATAGTAAACCTATCAGAGATTGACTAAAAACTTGTTCTTTAAAGAGAAAATAAACATGGTATATATGTATGTTTTTCTATCTTTAATTAAAAGAAGTTGTATTAATCCAACCTTATACCTTTTTGAAAAGATATATTTAACTCAATCATATATAAATCATAGTTTCAAATTTACTCGATTATGTCCGAGTACCTGCACATAATAAGGTCTAGTGAATAATTATTTTGTTATTTCAGATTATTATAACACAATTATGTATTTTTGGTTTTAATAATCTAGTTTTAATAGTTGCAGCGTTATGTTGCATTGAGCAATTGAAGTACAAAAACAAAACAAAAATTAGATAAAATAAATAGTAGTTGAAAAAGAAAAAAAAAATCTCTAATCTTCGAAACTAGAGTTGAATCATCGTAAGTTTCCAACTTTCCATTATAAGTTTTGGATTAGGGTTTACAAGTAAATTGCTTCATCATCATCATATGGTTATTAATTTAATCAAATTACATACATATTGTCTAAACGCAATTCATAAATATATAAACGAATTAATGAATAGTATAGAATTGGCTTAATGACATCTAATGCATGACCTCAAAGAGATGATGACGATGATAGTGATCATTGACTAATCGATTAAAAGACTTCTAGAATATTTATCTCTAAAATTGTTTTACATCAATGGTAGTGCACTCGTACATTTTCTCCATTTACAAAAGTAAAAATTAAGATTCTTATTCACACACTGTTCATCAAAATTATTTCTCCAAAGTATACATGTTATTTTCTACTTTACTAACATCTTTTATCTATATTATTTAAGTTAAAGCAAATTGTGTGATAGACATTAAAATAGTTATCTCCACAATATTTGATTAAAAAATTTAATGGACATTGAGACATTTATTTATACCAATGCAAAAAAAATTTGTTTACAGGCTTAATATATACTTTAGAGAAATTTGTTAACTCTGCCATATACAGTAACAAAATTTCTCCCACCTGCCATTTAGAGAAACTGCTTCTCCCACCTGCCACAAAAGCTTTGAAAAAAAACCAATGTACCCCTAGACGAATTGACTTCTCAGTCTCTGTGTCCTAACTGTTTTTTTTTTTTCATTATCTCTTTCTCTTCTTCATCTTTTTTTTTTCTTCTTCCAACAACAAACAGTTTCAGCGGACCAGATCCAACAGACGAACTCCGGCGGACCAAATCCTGCGGACGAACTCCGACGGTCCAGATCCGATAGACCAGATCAGATAGACCAGATCTGGCGGACCATAGTCAATTCTGGTCCAAATTCGGCAGACCAAATTCGACGGACCAGATTCGACGGACCAGTTTCGACAGACCATAACTCCAACGGACGAGTTCTGACAGACCACAGTCAGTTCTGATGACATATAACCAGTTCAAGCAGACCATATGTTTTGCTACATGATATTAAAACATTAGGTCATACAACCTTTATAATATATTTATCCTCCAATTAATTTATTTTAAAACTTAACACAATTGATTAGGTATTAAAAAGAAGAAGAAGAAGACTACAATCCATGAATCTGATTGGAACGCAGCTTAAAGAGTAGTAAGTTTGAATTCAAGAGTTGGTATGAAAAGTCAAGAAAAACATTGTTTAGATAACTATAATACATTGGGTTTGGAACATTCTATTGAATTCACCAATATGCTATATTACAAATTATGCATATGTTTAATTTCATTATCTCAAACAATGTATACTTTTGGCGACTATTAATAATATATTTATCGTCAAAATTATACTCAATTTCAATGGTTTGAACATTAGAAAAAACTTCAAGTAGCTAAATTTATTGACTTTATATAGAAATCACAAATTATAAGATCAGAGACAAGAGTATTGAAGTTTTTAAGGACACATACACTTATATACAAAAACGTTACAGACACTTTTAGCTTAACCAAAATCAAAACAAAGCTTTCATGACACAAACAACATATTACATAATTCATAAGTTATTTGTTCTTCTTCTTCTTCTTCGATACTATTATTAACAACATTTCAAGAAGCAAGCATGAAAAATAGATAAAAAAGAAAGTAGTTTGTAAGATCTCTCTCTGAAAATTACCTGTAAAAAGACTTGAATCTCAAAACTCAGAGAGCTCATTGTTGTTCATGGTAGCAGTTTCTGGATGATAATGAATCATTTCTTTCCACATTAACTCTCTTATCATCTCTGCCCCTAAATCCTCGTCTTCGTCTACATCGAGATCAATAGGGACTTGAGCAGGAGGATTTGCATTTGGGTCGTATAATGGCGCCATGTAAGGATGCTGAAGTGCTTCTGTGACACTAATCCTTTTCGATGGGTCGAGAACGAGCATTTTCTGAAGCAGATCGATGGCTAGAACGTTCGCATTTGGGTAAAGTCGAGAAAATGATATTCCCGGTGAGTATGGGAGTGATTCTATGTATCTTTTGGCTTTCGGGTTATCTATAAACTCGAGATCTTCCTCTCTCTGGCTACCCAAAATGTTAATGATGAGTTTAATCTGGTTTAGACATTCTGTTCCAGGAAATATCGGTTTTCTTCCAAGAAGCTCAGCGAAGATGCAACCAACTGACCAGACATCAATGGAGGTTCCGTAGTTGTCACAACAGAGGAGAAGCTCTGGTGCTCGGTACCATCTAGTCACAACATATTCAGTCATAAACTGACCTTTGGTGTTGCTCGTCCTCGCTAGCCCAAAATCGCATATCTTTAAGTCGCAGTTTGCGTTCACAAGGAGGTTACCGGGTTTCAGATCCCGATGAAGAATGTTGGCAGAATGAATATACTTGAGCCCTCGAAGCAACTATGCAAAAGAAAGAACAAAGACAAGTGTAATGCAAACGTCAAATGCAAACAATGCGCAGTAAAGGTAAAAGCAAACACAAACAAATTCAAGGCGTAAGCCAGAATCGAAAGTTTTGATAATTAACCAGACACAAAGCAACATAACGCGCAGATCGTATACCTGGAACAAGAAGTATTGGCAATGATCATTACTTAACACTTGAGAGGACTTGATAATCTGGTGAAGATCAGTATCCATGAGCTCATAAACAAGATACACATCCTTAAAGCTTCTCTTATGATTAGCCATCATTACATCTTTAAGAGAAATCACATTCTCATGTCGAAGATGGCGAAGAAGCTTGAGCTCCCTAAGTGTCCTCAAAGCATCAATCCTATTCTCAAACACATTATGGATCTTCTTGATCGCCACTCTCTCATTGCTCTCTCTGTTAACCGAAGAGCATACCACACCATACGCGCCTCGGCCTATCGGTTTAATAGGCACGTATTTGGTATCGATCTCGAAAAGTGTTTGCCACATTGAGAAGTAATGCTTCCCTTGATTCCTAATCCCATTTGGTGGATCAACCGGAGTCGCCATTCTTCTTCCTTATAACACCACAAAGAGAAGAAAAGATCGAAACTTTATCGCAAATCGAACATCTAATAACCGATTTAACACTTTATACAAAAATTTGAAAATATACAGAACACAAAATTTTGAACTGCTTCAAACAAGTAACAATGAAAGATCAAATTTTTAGTTTTGATCTTATGGTTCTCTAAGATTTAAGTGTATGGAAGATTCAAATCACTCGAATGAATGTGTAAATGTTTTAGATTTCACTAATCATCGAAAGCTTTGGTTAAGAGAAAGGAACAAAAAAATAAAAAACTGAATCTTGATCGATGATGAGATTGAGCTGTAACGATCTGAATTTTGAGAGACAGAGAGCTTACCCGTTGGGAACGAATCAGATTCGTCGGTGACGATCTCCGGTGAGATTCGAGCGGAGAGAGAGAGGAAGTTGGAGAGATTTGGCTGGTGAGTGAGAGATTTGGTCAACGCTGTGACCGTTGACTCTCTGGTTTCTCGTTCATTACCATTTAGAGGATTTTTTTTGATTAGTGTTGTCTGTTTCTTTCTTTCTCTCTGTGGCTCTCTGATATTAATCTGGTCTTTTATGTTTTGGGCTTAATTAAGCCCAGTTTGATTTAAAACAGTTATTTAAAGTAGTGTTAATAATTTAGATTTCAGAAATGTTTACAATAAAGTGGACGTGCCGGAGTGGTTATCGGGCATGACTAGAAATCATGTGGGCTTTGCCCGCGCAGGTTCGAATCCTGCCGTTCACGGTTTTTAAGTAATTGTTTTTTGGATTTTGAATTTTGAAATAGAAAAACAAGTAATGAATATTGAATATTAAATAATGAACAACGGAAGGTATAACTTTGGATGTTACAAATTTAGAGTTTGGGATAAATAACCGAACCGTTCTCGGTTAACCTATATAGTAGTATTAGGTTGTGACGGTTTGGTTCTCGGTTAACCAAAATATTATCAGGTTGTGAGAACCGTAGAAGCTTTATAAAAGTTCTTCAATAGAAAGCTTTCAATGTTCATATGGGATTAGATTGTCAGTTTTTCTATTAGCTTTTGCCAACCTCGTTGAATCACGTCATACAATGCAGAGAACTCAAGATACTGTAAAAGGATTTATATACAACAAGATTAATGATTGTTTGCTGGTAAATGGTTTTAGTAGATTGGAAGGTGAGGCTCTAGTTTGTTTCCTTCAATGGCGGTAAATTCTTAAAACTTGTTCTATTGGTTCACGGCAAAGAGGACAGGTACTCAGTTGCGAGGAGCATCTCACACAGCAGCACATATGACCACACCTACAAGTCAAAACCAAACAAAAAGAGGAATCAGAAGCTCCCATCAGTGAGAAGGTTCAAGAATTTATACAAGAAAAGCAGTGCCCTTACTGAACAAAAGCGGCGTTATACTTCCGGTCAAGGCAGATCACACAGAGATCAGGAGTATCGCCATATCTGCTTGTACCATCTGAGCTGTTCTCATGTTGCCTTTCTAATCCTGGTAAGGCATTTTTGTAAGCAGAGCAATTCCAGAGTATGCACAAAAAGATTCACATGTAATAACAAACTCTAATGGGTAGATACTACCTCTAGTTACTGGTTCAGCTCTCCTAGGAGCTACTGGTTCAGCTCTCCTAGCAGCTGCATCAGCAACTCTGCAACAGATTGCTCAACACTTAACTTGTAATGACTAATTATTTTCAACTTATCTGTGGCTGTCGTTAAGCTGCGACATACCTATTCAATAACAATTGTCGACGCCTTCTCTCTAGATAATCTTCAATTCTCTTTAGAATATATCTAATCACAGGCTTTGAAAGAAGTATCACACCAAGAACAGTTAAACCCATGGAGGCATACTTGAACTTTCTGCAAAAAATATGTCTTTTAGGATTTTTCAACCATAGTTTGCGAAGAAAAGAATAGGCAAAACTGAAAAAAACAACCTTGAACATTCTCCCAATTTAGAGATGAGCTGATCAAGCGGTATATAAGAGACGTAGAAAGGTCCTTGCTCGGGTTTTTGAATCCTGACATTCCCCATGCCATCCTTAACAGCCTGTTAACATGGTAAAGCAACACAACAAAACTGAGATGTAAAACGAAATTTCATATATAGGGAGATTTTAAACCATTAACAGACAAAGACATACCTCACCAACAACTGTAAGTGGTGTACCAATTGGGACAACATGCTCAATGCGTCTTACTCCAAGTATCTGTGCACAATAAATTCAATAATGCTGCCGCAACATATTACCATCTTCCAAACAAAAGCAAATCAATGAAAAGTGGAAGGAAAAAGGAAATATAAAAATGACCTGGAGGCCTTTAAGATAACTCAACGCTCCTTGAACAAGCGATACCGGTACTGACTTTTCAAATACATCACTTCCAACCGTCAAGGCCAAGCCTATTTCACCTTGAGATACCGCTACATTCACACGACCTGTCCCATCATCCTATTGAAAAAAACAATTTCAGATTTTGTAAGTGACTTGAGTAAAACACTCTAATCAAAGTCCACTCCAGGGTAGGTTGGCTTATCAAACTCAAAATACAAAAGACATATACCAGATACCACGGGACTTCCTTAGTCATCGGCTGCATAAATGTTCTATCTCGAACCCATGAAAACCTCCAATTACGTCTCAAAACCTGTTGCTCTGCCTGAAAAAATCGTTTTTGTTAACATACCCAAAATCAGTGAAACGAAATCTAAAGGCTTTTCAATCTCTAAAACACGATGAATCCAATTTCATCATACATACCGTTTTCTTGACAAAAACACCGAGAACGTCACTATACTCACACTTAATAGGTGTCTCAGAGCCAACAGTTCCTGACACTATGACCAATGGAAACACTTTGCTCTCTCCATCTACCAATTGTTCTGAAGTCAAACGAAAGATCTCAAAACACTGACACATAACCAAAACCCACCAACCTAAAATTGAAATGCAGTACAAATACAATGCAATTGTCTCAAGGAACATACATACCCAAATCCTTGAGGTGGCAAACCCTATTGATTGATTCGACAACTCTGTCTCGCACGAAAGAGGAGAGAACAACATTATCATCGAAAACACATGTGATGATCGTGAATAGTACAAGACAACAAGAAAAACCCTAACCTTCCTGTACTCCGGCTGAGAAGATAAAGAGCGACGCCGCCTAAGCAACATGTAAATCCAGCCAAATGCATCATCTTCTTCCACTTGATACACTGATCTCTTCACTAAAATCTCGAGTGAAGTCGAGTGATGAGAAGAAGAAGATCATTATCCGTCGCCAAAATATGGATTAGTTGTTTAATTAATTATTACTCCCTAAACCTTTTAAGTTAAGCAAAATAAACCCAATTCTTTTTTTTTCTGTTATTCTCATATTGAGGAATCAGAGCTAGTGCATGCGATTCCTGGTGCTCCCAAGACTCTGGATTTATGGAGTTAAAGCAACGTTTGATCAATCTGGGATAGCTAATTCGATCATCTCGGTTACTTGGGAGTGAGACATGTTATGAAGATTCTTGTAGTTAATTCTAACTTTTGTGTCGTTGGTCAGTTCTTACACAAGCCTTGGAGAAAAGCTTTTGACATTAAAAACTTTTGGTTTACAGTGAGGAGGTGTTTGGCACATAAGTGCATAAACCAGTATCACTGTCAATAAAATACATAACTTAATGTCTTTGTTACAATGGCACAAAAGTACAAAATGCTGTTTCTGCTACTAATTAAATTACGGAATTCGAGTAGTTAGTTTCTGCATTTTGGATTTGATTTCACTGTGAAATGACACAAAAGATTTGTGCCTGGTAGCGAAAGCAGTGCTGATTTGCTTAATCTCTTCCTCGATCTCTTTCCTCCGCTTCACTTCTACGTTAAGATCTTTTAAAACATTCTCTTTATCACTTGCAGTCACTCTCAATCTCTGAGTTGATTGAGAGAGCTTTATATCTAAAGAATCTCTTTCTTCCTTCAGAAGCTGTACCTCTTTTAACAGCTTCTCATGGCTTTCTCTTAAAGCTTCTAGAAGCTGTTTATCCAAACACAATTCTTTCTCCACCTTGTTATATCTTTTCTTGATGGTGCTAAGCTCAGACTTCAATTTCTCCCCCTCCAAAGCAGATGTTTCTTGTCCCTTTAAAATCACATTCAAAACCTGTCTTAGAGAAAGGAGAAATAGTAGTCTGACCACAACATCTAATTAACCAACATGAATTAGTTCATGCTTTTTCCTGGCAACATCGTTTAAGAAAGGATGTGTTTTGCTCAAATGAGCCACTCAATCTTGCATGGTTGGTTTGACTTTTAACTTCTTAAATGACAATAGTATACTGTATAACAGTGAGGACTTAGATTGATGGGGTTTTATTTATGCCAAAGATGAAAAGGAAAAACTTATAGGTTATGAGATGAATTCAAGCTTTTGGCTTAGTAGTATGCAACATAATATTCTTGCTAATTATCTGTAGATTACCAGGAAAAAAATGTAAAACGAACGCCATTTAGTAGACTTATTTGCGGTTCAACATATGCAGATATGTCACTGTACTAAACTCCTAAATAGAGAGACAAAGTACCCAAGCAAAACTATTGAAAAAATAAGTAAAATAGATCCATATCTTGATGATTGTGACGAGGAAGCTACCTTGTTGTGGGAGTTCAAGAATTCATCTTGTGCTTGTGCGTCTGACAGCAATGACGTTGTTGTGTTCTTCAGACTCACACGAAGTGTTTCCCATTGGTCAGATAGAGGATGATCTAGGCTACCACCCACTTTTTGACCATCTATTATCATTGAAAATTGTGTTTCTAGAGTCGACAAAAGGCTTGTCGTGATTTCAGTTGTACCAAAGAGCAGCTTTACTGTTGGAGATTCCTTGTCAGCGATTAAGCTCTAACAAATTGCAAGTGAAAAAAAATTGTGAGCTCAAATGTTTATTTATTGATTCAAAATTAAAATCAAAGAAAAAGTAAGCTGTTCACCTGCATTGTGACTGTAACATCCTTGTAGACATCCTTGCAATTAGCAAATGACTCAGATAACCTATTTGGAATTGCTTTAATGTGAAGAGTTTCTTGTTTGAGCTCAGTCATCTCTTCCATCAGTTTGTTGTTCAGAAGTACTTGTTCGTTGAATTTTACCTGCATAATTGACGCATAAACATTATAATCACAGTCAGTTGGCATCCAGCATATCAAATGCAGTTTCAAAAATAAAATATAAGTAAATTTTAGAGGATAGCAAAAGAAAGGATGGTAGGTACAAAAAATTTAATATCAATCTCTTATTCAGGAAATCTTGATAACTAGTTCAATTGTTCCCAGAGCTGCATCAGAGAACAATCCAACTAAGATCGAAAGAGCATCTTCATTTGAACAACCAAAAAAACCAATGAAGACGAACCTGAAGACCCTCCTTCTCATTGTTCAGCAACTCAATCTGACTTTTGAGATCTTCCACCTCTTTGTAGTTTTCAGGCAAGCATTCCTAATGAAAATTAACGAAGAACTAAGGTCAGCTTAGGCACATGTTTTAGGTGCTAAAATCCTCACCAATCTATTGTTGAAAACCATACAAGCTTTTGATGTACAAACAATCTTCACTATTGGAAGATAATAGGAGTGAAGTAAATGTATCTACTCACCGTGGTTGCTGTAGTTAATGGAGTGGGTTGACATTTAACTGCAGGTGTGAATTGACATTTAACTGCAGGTGTAAACTGGAGTTTATCAAGGTCTGCAACAAAACCCTTGTTTAGTTTCATCCAAGTGTCTTCATCCGCCACGTCCCCCAGGGAATTAACCATCGGACTAAAATCAGATAGTCCTGAATAATTATTTGACCGAGAAACCACAAAGGAATGTGAAGCTGATTTAAAGCATGGCGTCCCAGGAACATCACTGTTATCATTGACATTGCATTGCCCATTTGGAGTCTTTCTTAAACTGATAAAATCCTGCAGAAAGATGTTGCGTTAACAAATTTTTACATAACCATCAACTTGAGTACACCACTTTAGTTTAAGAGTAATAATAACCAGTTTAACAAAATTAGAGAGATGTTAAAAGTTTGCTATCTTTGATTAATGCTACAACGTATTTTCACTTAAATTCAGCTAAAGCCTATTTTTCTTTTCGAGATTATGTTTACTTCAGCAAAATGTCTGGATGTAATGATTTGAGGAATATCACACAGAAGTAAATAGATAATTTAAGTCGTATATCTAATAAATATCCAATAACAGCAGGATATCGCTTAAGCCAATGAATGCATCTGTACCTCTGACTGGTTCCTCTTGAAGTCTGAATTAGTGACAAGATTGTTTAGGTTCTCAATTTTCGTTTGTTGTTCCTTGATGCAGTGTTCCTGCTCCTTCTGCTTCCTTCTCTCTTCTTCCAGTTGTGTTTTTAGCCTTTCACATTCTAACTCATACTGGAAATTAAACAAAAGGGTAGCTATTTTGTATAATCTGTCCGCTCAATATTGTATTCAATGTATAAACTAGAGCAAAAAACTACCTTAAGCATCTGATTACTTAGCTTAAAGATCTCTTGCTCCAACACTTCGGCATGAGATCCCTACAAACATTATACCAATGTTGGTATCGTCCCCTTTCGAAGATGTAACTGAAATAAAACAATTGACTATACCTGAAGCTTCATTCGTAGCTCTTCTATCTCTAATTTTTGGCGCTTCAATAAAGCAGCATCAGTCAAGATCTGAAGCATTGAAACATTCTCAGATTATATTTCGATTAAGAGGAAAAAAGCCAGCCAGTATGAAATATGTAGCCGATGATCCGTTTCGAAGGGAAGAATTAACATAGAACAGTAAGATATGAAAAAGGAGTAACAAATAACTCCAAAGAACCAACAGAGGTTTAAATGCTTCAAAATTCAAATGTAGACCTCATTCACTTGGGCACAGTTTGTGATGCGCTTGGCTCTGCTTGCAAATTGGAGAGTTCCTTTTGATTCCTCAATATGATGCTACACAAGTCATCATGATTAGTCAGCTGTCTACTCTTGCGCTTTGAATTATTACTCAAGGCCAAAAAAATCCAAAAACATAACCAACAAGTAACTTATTCTACCTCTTCTGGTGCGATAGTGCATATAATGCAGGTCTTCGCATTACCACCAAGTGCAGGCTGAAGAATTCGAGTCAGCTTGCTATCTCGGTACGGAATATGTGCCCTATCATCAAGAACGAAAAAAACATGAGCTGAGGTGAGCTATATTGTTGTTACATGTAAACAAAATCAAGTGTGAAAAAGTACCTTAATTTTGCACTGTCGCTTAGTTTATTGATGACATTACCAAGAATCATTAAGCTCTTATTAATGTACTTCCCTTCCGTCAAGCGTACTCCACCAGCACCAGTTTTAGCAATTCGCTCGGATCCAGCCAAGTCAACCAAATTCTAGCTCCATTAAAAGATCACCCATAAGAAAATAAACAGCTTGACATGATATAACTTTCACAAGAAAGTTTTGAAAGATATGAGCTGTAGTGAAACTTTTCACTTACCAAGACTGAGACACGGATAGCATCTGAAGAATTATTATCTTTTCCCCTGCTCTCAATCACCTATCACACAGAGAGATTGCATCAGATAAAATATTTTAAAAAAACATAGAAGGTTCCGTTGATAGTTTCTGAACCATACCATTCTGAAGATGGTGTGAGACCTGCTACTGTGAACATTCATGTTTGTCTCGCCAAAGTGCCTATTAACTGTTAATTGAAGACGACCATGTCAATACACATTAGGCATAATCAAAGTGCAGAAAATCAAATACTTTCTAGTTTAGATATGGGTTAGAAACCTTCTCCAGAATCTATAAGCTTTAGAATCTGGTCAGCGTCACTAACAATTTCTTCCTTAAGACCAGCAACAAATACGCCACGCTGCACATCAAGAGAAGCAAGTCGGTTAAATTACTCTTAAACAAACTAATGGAGAAGGTATTACTTGTGTAAATGATCCAACCAAACCTCCAAATGTTCATGAATTTGCAGTCTCTGATTCTCAACAGCTAAAAGATCATTAATTTCTTCATTGTAAATTTCCATGTACGAAACCCGGATGAGAAACTCGCGATCAGATATCTACAAAACAAAGAAACATGAAACACACAAATCAAAAGCTGTACTCTTTTTTCTTACTTCACAGATACACTGAACAATTCTGAGCATTATACCAAATGTATTCTTTCAAACACATCTCTGACAGATC